CAGTAATGTTTATCAAATTAAAATGTGAATACCCTGACCCAGTAATTCCAACCTATGGAATTGTTTTTTGGATCTAGTAGGACAACCATGCCAGGATACATGTGCAAGAACCTTGTTTATCGTATTAAAAACAAAAATTGGAAACAAACTAAGTGTCCTTCAGTGTGGGATTATTAGCCAAATTTTGGCACAGCCAGATAATGCAATATTCATTATTAAAAGGATGAGATATATCTATATGGATTGATATAGAGCTATCTATGCCCACAATATATTTTAAAAGGTAGGAGAGTATGAATAGCACCATTCCATTTATATTTTTAAAATATATTTAAAAAAGAAAAACCCACAGACATACGCACACATCCCCAGAGACTTCCTAACGTCTAAATCAGGAGAGGCTGAAAACAACAGAAAAAGCTCTAGCATAGCCCTCCCTGAGGTAGACCTGTGGTGGCCACATGTAGAGATTATTTAAGAATGACTTGATTTAGACCAGTGGTTCTCAAAGTGTGGCCCCAGGACCAGCAGCATCAACGTCACCTGGGAACTGGTTAGAATGAAATTCTCAGGCCCCGCCCCAGAGCTACTGCAGCAGGAATTTGGCGTGTGGGGTCCACCGGAAGACTGAGACCCACAAAAGTTTGAGAATCCCCCACCTGGACATCTGAAAGTAGTCATTGAGTTAAGGGATAATCTGTCACTTTGGGGTGACTGTGCCATAAAGACTCCGTGTACAGGGTGAGGTTTCTCGCGAAGAGAATGAAGGAGGTCTTAGATTGGAGAGAGGAAAAAGAAAAAAATCTCCTCTCTCCGAGGCTGGGATTCAACTCTAAACATCGTCTGGGGTAGGCAGAATGAAGGCAGAGTCTGGGCAAGTAGGGGGTCAAAGGACACTGAGCCTCAGTAGCATAATCTCATATTCTCTGAGTTTTACTCTCTCATTCCTCTCATCCTCAGAGCTCCAGAAAAGTCTCCTGAAAAGTGACTCTGGTCTCAGCTGTTCTGTGGGTAGGGAAAGCAGTGTCCATCCCCACTCAGGCCAGAAAGGTGGGAGCAGCCATTGCTAGGTTAGCAGGGAGCTGTACCCAGCCAAGGGCAGCCTCACAGATGTCACCAACAGGAATGGCGCAGTGCGGTGGCCAGGGAGAGAGCCAGAGCCGAAGAACCCTGAGCATGCTTGAGGCGGTGCCCTGGGAGAGGCTCAGAAAATGCTGGAGGACAGACACTTGGCAGGTATCAGGGTAGAGAAGAAAGGGAGGGATTTCTAGAAGTAAATTGGAGTGAGTCCTTGCTGTCGTAATCTGGAATTTAGCAAGAAGGGTGGACAGGTTTGGAAAGCAGGATCTGACAGAAACAACAGTGTGTTAGGACTTCCCTTCCAAGCACTTACCACAGTTTTATTTTACATTTATCTGTGTGATCATTTAATTCTCTTCCTCTCCCTCTGGGCTGTAAGCTTCATGAAGGCAGGACACTGTATGTTTTCAGCCACCACTATGTTCCCCGTTCCTAGCTGGTACATAGTATTTGCTCACAAAACAGGTAGGATAAATAGACAATTTAAGTTAAAATGCTCTAGAGCATTTGATTATTCTTTCTCTGTGTTGTTGACTTTTTGTTTTGTTAGTTTTTGCCCAAACAGCATATTATCATATGAAAGTATATTACCAAAAAGCATATTACCAAAGGAAGCTATTTCCATTTTGGAGAGAGTCATCTCATAAATACGGTGTTGGAGGCTTTAGTCTCTGAGTTGTAAGCACTTGTTTAGAAAGGCAAAAGGATGTAAAAGTTAGGATGTATTAGGATGTATTTTGCCAGAAATACATAGAAACAGACCCACATTGGCCGTCAGACATTATGGCCAGCCTGATGCCCTCAGATGTTGCTATATCCCAGAGTGACTCGGGAATCAAAGATTAATTCTGCACAGAATTAATGAAGAGCGGGCGCCTGGGTGGCTCAGTTGGTTAAGCGACTGCCTTCGGCTCAGGTCATGATCCTGGAGTCCCGGGATCGAGTCCCACATCGGGCTCCCTGCTCGGCGGGGAGTCTGCTTCTCCCTCTGACCCTCTTCCTTCTCGTGCTCTCTATCTCTCATTCTCTCTCTCTCAAATAAATAAATAAAAATCTTTAAAATAAAAAAAATTAAAAAAAAAGAATTAATGAAGAGCTTCTAGGCATTACGGTTCGCTGAAAACTGACCATCCACATATGATAAAACAGCATGTGCTACCCTCAGCAAATGCCAAGCATCTCCAACACAGAGTCAGCGCGCAGCTGCAATGACGTCACAAGGACACAGGCGACCCACCGGCCCTCTGATGACGGGAAGGATCATCACCAGTCACGCTAAGATCTGAGAATGTGCCAGTGGAACAGAAAGGAGAGGCTATTTCAGAGAGGACCGCAGAAATAGGGACAATAAATTGAGACGTTTAGCAAATAATCCCACCCCTTAGCCTAGGAAGTTTCCCCTGACCTAGAGAGAAGGGAAGTTATAAAATTAAATTTTTATAAACACACATGTGGCATCTTTGGCTTCAAACAAGCAGCAAGGCATGTGGCCGTGCTGCCCAGGGTCAGCGGTCCATCCCTGCCAAGCTCTCGGGGCTGTGTGGTCACAGTACTGACCGTACTCTGTGCACAGGAGGGACTAATCCTGCCACAGATGTGACAGGCAGAGAGGGGTCTCGCCACAATCCACAGCAGGCTCCCTCAGCCACTGCAGTTCAGTCTAAGCATCTCGGAAGCCCACCACCATAAAACGCCTTACAGTTCGGGTTGGAGGTTGACGTTCTATGAAACTCCGGATAAAAGGAATGGGAAGTGCCTCTCTTCCCCCTGGCCTCCCCGCCCCCGCCCTGCCATTCCCCTTGAACTCAGGGTCAGACTTCTGGGGAACCAGATCCTATCTGGGAACAACCCAGCGGTCAGTACAAAGAGACATCTCCCACCCGTCTCCCCGAAAGGGCTTTCAGAGGGAGCTCGGACACTCTCCATCTCTGCGTGCGGAGGCTGGGTAATTGCCGGGCTGACCCTCGGGAACCTCTTGCCCTGCTCACCTTTCACTATAATGCGTGGTACAGCATAATCATGAAATGTGCTTATTAATTTTACTCATTTGACACTGCGCTCTTCTGCCCTGAGCTAGATGTTAGGAGAAAATGATAGGGATAGATTCTGCTCCTGTCAGACTTACCAAGACTTTCAGAAAACCAGACTATCAAAGGCCATCTGCCACCCACTAGCCAAGCTTTCAAGATGACCCCAAAGGTACAAACAGGATGTTAAAGACACAGATCAACAAAGGAGAACAGCAAGAAGATGTGGAGACCCATGCCCTGGGTGTGAGCCCCCCGCATGAGCCCTCCCAGGAGAGCAACCCCTGAGCCAGTCCTCCCAGAGATCGCGAGCGCTGAGCCCCTGCCCTGATTCATGACTTGCTGCTTCATGTCTAATTCATCAAACGACACTTTGGCTTCTCAAATCAGGAACATTTTTATTAGCTTCCCCAAGAGTTTTATGGCACAAAGCCATATCTAATGATTCTATTTTATGGCAAGTTATACATTCAAACAGTGCTTTGAAGTCAGACAGCAGGTAAGACTCAAATCTTTGTCAAAAAAGATTCCCTTGTCCTTTCACTTTTAAAATGTTTATAAGCTTTCAAACAGTTGCGGAAGTGATGTGGAGCATTTTAACAGGCTTCTCCTCCCCTGGACGGGACCCAGCGCTAGCTGAGCCAATGTCTACTACAGCCTTTTCAATGGAGGCTGCTTTTGCCCCTCTGACCCCTCCACCTAGGGACATCTGGCAATGTCTGCACACATTTTTGGTTGTCACAGCTGGCGGGGGGAGGGAGGTTAATGTTACTGGTATCTAGTAGGTGGAGGCCAGGGATGCTGCTAAGCGTCCTATATATGTAGCACAGCACAGCCCCCCAACACAGAATTATCTGATTATCTGGCCCAAAATGTCACTAGTGTCAAGGTTGAGAAACCATGTTTTAGGGCTTCTTCTGGACCAGGCGCTGTATCCCTCCCACCCCTGGGACATCAGATGCTAATCTAATCATGGTGGCAGGTTTTCAGTGCTGGCTAATGAGCCTTGTATTCTTTTTATTCTTATACATTCTTGGTGCACACTTTCAATAAACAAGAACAAAATGCTGTCTTAAACAAAATGAGGAAAGTGAAAGTAAGACCACCTTAGAATCTCAGGACACATGACCACAGTCACTGCTAACTAAACCCTCCTAGTGTTACTCTGCACCTTTTAAGCAATTTATCTACTGAAACAACAAAATAACCAATTCCAGCCATCAGTACTACTGAACACCACCACAGACGCCGGCCCGGCTGAAAAGCAAAGCAAGTTCTCTGCTAAATTGTAGTGGTGTGATCAGTCAGAGCAGTGGACTTGGAAGGGGGTCTGGTCCTGATTCACCACTCCCAAGGACTGGGACTCGGGCCTCTGTCACTTCACTTGTCGGACCTTGGGTTCTCTTAATCAGCGAAGTGGAGAAAAAGCTACTTGCCCTCCTAGCCTTCCAGGGAACTGTGAGAGCCAAATGACTTCACAGGTAGGAAACCGCTCTGCAAACTGTAAAGAGCTATGAGAATGTGTGGCAATACACTGATGACACTTATGCATGCATGACAACCTATGACAAAGATCTTTCAGACTCTTGGATCCTGTTCCTGAAATTTCACAACTGGAAGTGAGTTTAGAAATCAACAGAGCCAACCCTTTAGTTTTACCCAAGGTGAAAATGACCATCACAGAGGTCAAGTGACTCGGCCAAGGCCAGGAAACAGCCCAGGTGGACTCAGGTCCTCTGACTCCCAAACCAGGACACTCCCACACCTTCCCACTGGTGAGGCTTTCCCTCCCTGTTTAAGTTCCCAGAAGGAAGGAGCACATTTACACACAAGGTTCAGGGGCTCTTGAACACAGGAGATAAATACTGCTTGAATTAGTGGATCTTGACTTACTACATCATAGCCTGTTGGGGCTCGGTTCCGAGAAGCCACCACCCCCACTCCCGTGATGGGATCCATCGATGTCTCTGGCAAAGCTTCTGAAAGGTCTTTGACTTCAGGCATTGTGGATTGGTCCTGGTTCCGAAAAGGAAAGAAAGCACAAAATTCAAACTGACCATTTAAAGTGAATGATACAAAGTCTCAAACAGAACCAGAAACTTGGTGCAAACATCCTGAGCTAAGCTCCATATACCTGAACTAGCTAGAGGAGCCCTGGCCTTACCTGACCCTTTCCTCAGATCAAGAACTCAAGTCATCTCTAACCCCTGCCCTTCTCACGTTGGCTCTGAACACTGAGCTAACATAGTTAAGGAGGGCCTGTCCCTGCTTGGAGAGGTAACTCTGACTCAAACCCAGAAGCAAACCATTCTTTTTTTTTTTTTTAATATTTTATTTATTTGTTTGAGAGAGAGAATGAGATACAGAAAGCATGAGAGGGGGTAGGGTCAGAAGGAGAAGCAGACTCCCTGCTGAGCAGGGAGCCCGATGCGGGACTCGATCCCAGGAGCCTGGGATCATGACCTGAGCCGAAGGCAGTCGCTTAACCGAGCCACCCAGGCGCCCCAGAAGCAAACCATTCTTAACACTCTCAACAAGCTGCCTGACTTCTGAACAGATACCAGTAGCTTCTCTGAGAAAGCAGACACAGCTGAATCTAACACCACTGTTCACTTCTCTCCCTTACAGTTATCTCCTTGTGGAGGTGCAGACTTCCAAATCCACAGCCTCTCGCACAACCAAGCGTGGACTGTTCAGTAGGCAGAGCTTTGCAAACACATGGAAGAAAATGTTCTGGGAATGCAGGCAAAGGAATGGCGTTCAAGTCCAGGCTCCATGGTTTACCGGCTGGTGACTTTGAGCAAGCAAGAGGTCACGATACGGACACTCACAGAGCTGCTGTGAGATCTAAGGGAGTCACATAAATGAAGGGCCTGGAGGAGTCCCTGGCACACAGTAGGCACTCAACAAAAAGCAGATGAGACTGGCAGGTTTGGGGCCCACAGGTCCAGCGTAAGTGGCCGGAAATATGGTAGGTGCCATTCCTGGGAGGACTGGCAGGTGCCTTTGTTGTGTTTAATCCCGCAGGTCATGTGGGCACTTACTCAAAGCTAAACACTAACAATGACCATAATTCTTGCTGGGCACTTCGGGAGAAAGGAAGGGGAAATGGAATTATTATTCTGCTGCTGACTGCCTCTTGATGTGACCAGAGGAGACAAGGAGAATATAGAGAGCACTGGGTCTGGGCAGCTGGAGTGGCAGTGCACCAGAAAGCAAATAAAAGAGGTAACACCCTATGTAAATGACTTCTAGTACTTTTAAAAGGACAAGCAGTGAAAAAGAGCAAGTTAAATTCCACCTCCTTCTGCAGCAATTAAATTCCACTGGCTGTAGGTCTACCAGATCTCTCAAAGCTGGTTACTGCTTCTAAAGCAAACCAAACACCCTGCCTAACTAGGCAGGGAGAAGAAATATTCTTAGTTCTCAGCCTAGAATCAGAAAAGGCAGAGGCTATTAAAAATGACTGCAGCCTTCTAAATGGGAACAATCAGAATGCTATATGCAAGTCACCCATGTAATCAGTGTCCCCTGAAGCCCACAAAAGGCTCCGGAAACACTTGTCAATGAAATTGAGCCAAGTCTCCAATCAAGGCTAGGAAGTGCCTGGCAGAAACCACACTCTCAACTTCGGTTCATGACAAAAGCCAAACTAAGTTATGCTTTACTTAATTCTACTGAAAATGAGCTTCTAGAAGCCCAGGGCAGGGGGTAGGATACCATGCCACACCACTGCATCATTTTCTATTTTCAAATTTCATTTACCAGGCAGGTTTATATAAAGCACCGGGCTTGGTGCTTCCTGCACAAAGTAGGCAGGAAGTAAGTATTTATTGAATGAATAGGCATGCATGCCCCCAGTAAAGAAGGTTTAGCGTTAAATATCTGCATCAGCCCAGTCCAAAGCAAACACTACTCAAAAAGTATCATCACTTGGAAAATCCCATAGTATTGGTAGCATGAAAATAACACCGCTGCAGTTTGAAAAATATGGGTGGGTACCTGCTGTTGGTTACCAAAACGCTCTGCAATTAACAACTCATTAACGGGAATGTACAAATTCTGCCAGCGCTAAAATATCATGCTGTGAATTTAACAAAACATCCGAGGTAAGTTTTTTATTATTATTAAGATAGTACTGCCTCTACTTTGTGAGAGAGAGAGAGGAGGCAAGCATGGGAATAAATAAATATTTTATTTGCCGACGGGTTCCTGTCCCCGGGTCACGACGTCCTCGCGACGCGCAGGTGACAACGGCTCTCCCCGCCCGAAGCCGGCGGTCAAGGGCAGTGGGGAAACTCGCCCCCTGGAGCCCCGCCGCTCCCACAATGCACCGGGGAGGCAGCCCGGCCGCAGGTTCCAAGATGGCTGCGAGCTGCCTCCAGCTGAGGCAGACAAAGGAGCCGGCGGCCTGTGCCCATGCGTGCACGGTCCCAGCCCAGCGGGCAGACGGGAGGTTGCGACAGCAGAGCATGAGCACAGAGCATCTCGGATGCACGCCTCCTTCTTCCCTTTCCCCCCAGTTGCTGTACCCTGGGGATCAAGGCAGCCTTTGTGAAATACAGACAAATGACTCCTCGCGGCGCGGGGCCGTGGCCGGCTCCGCGGTGGAGGAAGCCCCACCACCAGCAAAGGAAGCTTTTAATGAGAAACGCCCAAGATATCCATGGCAGAGGCAATCACTCAAAGCAGCTTGCCCTGAATTACACATTTTCTGACTGCAAATTACTTTTAACAGCGTCTCTACCGTCACTTCAATTGACCTTCCTAACAAAAGGCCATTTATTAACTAGCACTCCACGTTTCCCGGGCTGTGTGGAGCCTCGAGCCAGAAGGGATGGCACCGCCGAGTACTCAGCCGCCCAGGGTCACAGGCCAGGCCTCTGGGAGGGGAGAAGGGGCCATTAATGCAAGCCTGCAGAGCAGATCTGCCGGGGAGGGGAGAGTGGGGAGCGGGCTGTTTAAGACCAACATTAACCTGTGTGGCAAGAGGCAACGCTGGTCTAAAACATAAAATACCAAGGCCTACTTGCAGCAACCCCTGATTTCATCCTCAGCAGCTCCGCAGCAGATAGAGACCCACTGCTGTCTCAAAATCCTAATTGCACACAAAACACACTAACACACCCAGCTGCATTTGTACAGCGCTTTGCAATTCGCAAGAAGCTTTCTTAGGCTCCTTCTTGACTGATGATCACACCAAACCTGGAAGGTGGCTGGGTCTAATTACCTTTATTTTAGAGAAGACGAAAAATTTAGAGAAGGCGGCCCAACTTGTCAGCCGCCATGCAGCTGGCAGCTGGCCCACCTGAACAGGACCTACCTCTAGTCCTCCTTCCCAGATCTGATCTGCTTTCCATGACGCTGTGCAGAGAGACCAACATCCCATCTGATACCCAACTGAGAAAGCAGTTTCAACACTAATTATATTTAAAAATGCCAAAGCTCTTGTTTCTCCAGCTATAGCCCAATAAGTGAAGCAAGGGGGAGAAAAGTACAGAAAGATAAAAGTAACATGGGATTAATTTTCCTCACACCTCAGTTTCAAGATTCAACATTTCCCTCATAAATAATTTACAACAATAAAAATGAGCTAAGGCCATGTTTGTGTAGGACGGAGGTAAATTTAGGCCTAATGAGGGAGATCCGAGCACTGCACAGGAGGGAATAGGTTGATGTATAGCACCGTGCGCGTGCAATCGACAGCACACAGGGGCTCCATTACCAACCGGAAGTCTCGAGGCCCACCAGGAGGAGGGGGGAGCGATTGAGGGAAACTTCTACCATCCAAGCTGTGGCTGCAAGGGGAGTCTCTGCAGGGAGAGCCAAAAGTTGACCAGTATTTTAGATGACAAGACAACGGAGGCTGAGATTTCTCAGGACTAAAAGATTGAACCAACCTGAAATTAAGTCAGTTCTCAGTAAATGCCAGGTGAGGAATCAAGCTGGTGATGGCACCTGGGAGTCACGTCTGCTGGTGGACAAAGGGAGAGTGCAGTGGCCACACTGGCCTTGAGCTGGTCCTCCTCACTTAACCTCGTGGGCCATCTGGCCCCAATCCCCATCCCAATCTCTACCCCGGGTGCATGGCCAGCCTCCACTATATCATTTCCAAGGCTGGGGGCTGCTATTCCTATGTCTGCCCCAAGAGGATTTCTCCGCCAGGCAGGAGAGTACATATGGATGTGTTGGTGTGTGTGTGTGTGTGTGTGTGTGTGTGTGTGTTTCATGCACATACAGGGGCTACAAAGGATCAGTTAGGGTGAGGGGTGTGTGGGTGTGTGTGTGTGTGTGTGTGTGTTGCATGTACATACTGGGGCTACAAAGGATCAGTTAGGGTGAGGTGTGTTTTACGTATGGATGTGTTGGTGGGTGTGTGTGTGTGTGTGTGTGTTTCATGCACATACAGGGGCTACAAAGGATCAGTTAGGGTGAGGGGTGTGTGTGTGTTGCATGTACATACTGGGGCTACAAAGGATCAGTTAGGGTGAGGTGTGTTTTACGTATGGATGTGTTGGTGTGTGTGTGTGTGTGTGTGTTTCATGCACATACAGGGGCTACAAAGGATCAGTTAGGGTGAGGGGTGTGTGTGTGTGTGTGTGTGTGTTGCATGTACATACTGGGGCTACAAAGGATCAGTTAGGGTGAGGTGTGTTTTCCAGGCCAGGAGGATTTTTTCCACGTCATACCTGATGAATACTATGAAACAAGGCTGGGTAGGAGAAAACCCGCCTCCCACTCTGCCTGCAGTGTTGCAAACAGTACCTGGGGAAGGCCCCGGCGCCCAGGCCTGCAGCACCTTGGTAATGCTGTCATCCCAGGTTCACAGAGAAATGAACTTTAACTATAAAGCCTCTCATATAGACAGCACACTGCTCCCTTGTAGCTGATCAAAGAATTACTACAACAGTGTGCTTAATCCCTAAAAGTCAGCAGTGCTGGGCTTAACTGATGCTGAATATTGTTTCAGAATCAAAGGCGTGCCTCCCGGCCCCAGTCTGGGAGAAAACTAAGCTACTGTATCACAGTTGAAAACTCAGGGGAACTTTGATATCATCTCTGTTTAATTTCCCCGGCCCTGTGAGCCTGGGGTTTATCTCGTTTTATCAACTCCTGTACTGAAATCAAAACCCAACTAACAGAGCTCAGACCTCTCTCCATGGACGCCCTTCCAGCAGTGGGGTGGGGTGGGGAGCAACAACTGCAGGGGGGAAGGGGATGCTCCATCAAAGGAGGCGCAGCAGGAACCCAGACTCGGCCTCCCCGCCGGCTCAGAAGCAGCGCCAGCTCTGCCCACCCAGGGCTGAAGGCATGACTCGCACACAACTTTGGAGGAGAGTAATTTCAAAGTATTGGGGGGGCAGGTTAAATTGGGCTACTGTAATTGAAATGACAAAACCAGTGGATTAATTAAGTCCCTACAGAAAGATGAACTTGCAATCAGCTTGTTTGAAATCCAAAGTCAAGGGCACAAGAGACATAAACTGTCTGCCCGCATCCACCAGCTTGCGGGGCTGGGGAAGAGCAGTGGATAAATATTTCACTCGCCACAGGAACCTGACCAACAGCAGGGTGGAGACTGAGAACGGGCTGTCCCCCAGTGAAGGCTGCCGCTGTGCCCATCGTGGGGCAGCTACCTTGCCTCTTTCCCATGGCAGCAGCAGTCTGCAAGAACCCAGACCCCTTCTGCCCCATGATTACTGGCATCTTTTGGCCCACAAATCTTTAGCAGGTACAGAAGGACACGGCCCCATTCCCACTGGAGGGAGCCCACAACCAGGCTTTACCAATGCACACCACCCCACACACAAACTGGGCCGCCTGCATGCAGTGAAGGTGCAGAGACCTACCTCCTCGGGAGATGGCAGGCTGTGGCCTGAGTCCATGCAGCACCCAAGCAAGTGGCCAGCCAGCTCTTGGAGCTACTCATGGAGGAGAGTGCACAGGCTGAGAGCCGTCCATTGTGGAACCTCAGAATGCCATCCTGATGCCTCCTGCACTTGGTCTGGACCACTTTCCCCGTCAGAAGCCAAATCACCCTAACAAACACTGTTGAGTATGGTCAGGGGGCAACGGACCACAGGCTGCTGGGAAGGCTGCTTAGATATTAGGAAACTAAAGCAAATATTTTTCTAAGCTCTCCTAGATCGCAAAGAATTTTCCAGCTAGGGAACTAACAATGGTGAGCACTTCCTTTTCCCCAGTAAAGGCCTGTTACTTCTAATAAAAGAAACTGGTGTATACATGCATCCATTCTATCTGACCGACGCTTAGATTTTTATTAACCATTTGTATAACAAATGGATTTTCCACAAATCATGTGATACAGGCCTAGGGTTCACGTTGCTGCAGCTCATACAGGACAAGGCTAGATCCCAGAATTCACTCTCCAAAAATAAATCCGGGATCAAGTTCTACAGCCCTGCCCTAGCCAAAGCCCTGCCTCTTACAGGCCTGATTCTGCACAGCCAGGGAACCTAGTGCTGGGGGTAGGGGGGCAATCTCCAGTACACTGTGTGCCCCACCCCCACTTGCCCACAAACACTGCAAACGAGGGTCAGCCCTGCCCTCTCCCATCAAGTCTTGGTGCCATATTGTCCCGTGGAGAGAAGGAAGAAGGAGAACCCCAACAGAAGGCAGGTGCTCTACAAATGGACACCATCCCAGGAGGACCCAAGAGACACGCTCTCTTGATGCTCAGGGACATAAGGTAAGTCACACCCTTACTCTGGTTTACAGAGTGAAAATGCCAATATTACCTCAACACCAAGCAAATGGGCTGCCAGGTGGGAATTCATCAGAACACCTGGCTTCAGGTCAGCCAGGCACGTCCCATCACCACCACCCTCCTCTCTGACTTTCACAGGGGTCTTGAGAGTTTCTTCTCATGTTTTGTCCTCTAATCTTTCTACCTGTATGCTGATGGCTTACAAAATAACCTCCACCGCCCCGACTTTTCTCCTGAGACTCAGAGGGATGCATCTAGTGCCCCGCTGGCTATTGCCACCCGCATGTCCTGGCTGAACGTGTCATCCTCCCCATGAAGCATCTCCCATATTCCCAGTACCTGGCAGGACCTGGCACACAGCAGTAAGTCCACAAACATTTATGGAGAGCCTTTGTGTAAGCAGTGAGGGAGAGTTCGCAATGACGACAATGGACAATCCAACATTCTGGAGCAGGGATTCAAACACTAGCAAGCGTGAGTCACCTGGAGAGTCTGTTAAAAGAGACTCTTGAACCCACTCCCAGCGACAACAACAACAAAGTGTAGGATGAGGCCTGAGAAGGCATTTCTAACAAGCTCCAGGTGACGGCCAAACAGCAGATCCACAGTCTGAACTCTGAGTCCTAGACAGCAGGTACTCATTAGATGTTTGATGAATGAATGAACAGAAACAAAAACCTGAATGTAATTATCCATGGGGAATAGCCTCAGAAAGAATCCTTCAGTCTCTCCCTCCCCAAACAGGTCAGCCAAGAGCACTTAGTTCCTCCCCTAGGATACCTGCCCCACCATTCAAAATCCAGGTCACATTCGGAGAACCCTGCTGTTCACCAAGGACGTGGTCTTAGCACACACATGTGCACACACGCATGTATACACACACAGAAACACACAGCCTCGCCTCTCAGAAGGTTGTAGCACACTTTCCCCAGTAGGACAGTAGCTGTTCAAAGGTGTTATGTCCACCCAGTGCCTAGCTCACAGTAGGTGCTCAATAAATGGATTATGGGGCGCGTGAGTGGGTGGAAAGAAGGAAGGAAGGAAGGAAGGAAGGAAGGGAGGGAGGGAGGGAGGAAGGATGTATCAAGTTCCCATCATCCTTTCAAAACTGCCCCTCTTTCACTGAATTAAGAAGGATACACAAAGCATCATGGGCAATGGCAAGAACAGCCCCGTGGGCCCCTTCCGATGGCAGCGCCAGGCTGGGCATCCATGAGCCCCGGACAAACACCACAATTCTAGGGACAGGCAAGCTGCAGAGGCGGGGAGGCGGGACTGCAGCACTCCCAGCAGCTCCAGAAGTGATTGTGACTTAGTCCAAGCAGGCTGGATGAGGGCCTGGCAGGGGCCAGGGCGTCTCCAGGCTGGTTGCACGGAAGACTCCCCTAAGGAGTTAGTAAAAACCACAGCTGCCCAGGCTGTGATTTAACTGGTCTGGGCTTGGGCCGAGACTGGATAATGCATGGCCCAGGTGAAGTGCACGGCCGCCACCCGTGGAGCTCCTAGGCTGGGGGAAACATCCCAAAGAAAGGGACTGCCCATGAGGGGACACTTCGTTCTGCCAGGGTGAGATGGGAGGGAAGGGCAGGAGCTCAAGCTGGCCTTCTGGAAAGACAGAGGGTGCAGAGTAGCGAAGGTACTGTAGGCACAAGGTGCCGGATCAGCAGCAGCGTGAACGAACGCACACCACTGGGGGAGCCGCGGGTAGCAGATGGGCTCTGAAACAAGCTTATGAAATGCTTAAACAAACAAACAGATAAACAAAACAGTTAAAAACCTGTCTGCACTTCTCTGCTATTTCTAAGGTCTAAGCAAAGGGGAAGGAAGGAAGAGATTCGCAAGTTTTTCGTTCGTATTTCCTCTCCTGTAACCGTAGGCTTCTCGAACTCATGCCACTGCCTGCAGACTTCCGTGGGCCTTGTCATTAGCTCAGCGGGGTAATGGGAACGGACAGGGCGCTAGCTCCGGAGCCAGGGGGCCCTGAGCTTGAATCCCGGCTCTCGTACCGCCTAGAGCTGTGTGACCACAGGCACAACAGCTCAACCCGCCCCCAGTGTCCGCCCCCCTACAACGGGAATAATAGATAATAATATTTCCTCTATAGGGTTATATGGTATACAGAACTTGTAGAACTTGCATCAAAAGAAACAACTGACAGAGGGAAATGGACCACTTATGGAACGGGAGAAATTATTTCCAAACCACATGTCCGCTAAGGAGTTAGAATCCAAATCTATAAAGAACTCCTACAACTTAGCAACAACAACAAAAAGCAAATACTTGATTTAAAAAAAAAATGGGCAAAGGACTTGAGTAGACATTTCTCCAAAGATGATATACAGATGGCGAACAAGCATATGAAAAGATGTTCAACATCACTAATCACTAGGGAAATGCAAACCAAAATCACAATGAGCTGCCACCTCATACTCACTGGGATGGCCCCTATCAAAAGCCAAAAAATTAGTGTTGGCAAGGTTTGGAAAATTGGAAACCTGCTGCACTGTTGGTGGAAATGGAAATGCAGCCACTGTGGAAAACAGTATGGGGATGCCTCAAAAAATTAAAAATAGAATTACTACTCTAGGGTCTGGCAATTCCGCTTCTGAGTATATACCCAAAAGAATTGAAAACAGGGTCTCGAAAAGATATTTGTACATCTGTGTTCACAAAGGCATTATTCCTAAGAGCCAAAGGGTAGAAGCAACCCAAGTGTCCACAGACAGATACGGATAAGCAAAATGGGTACATACGTGCAGTAGAATATTATTCAGCTTAAAAAGGAAATTCTGGCACATACTACAACATGAATGAACCCTGAAGACATTATGTGGAGTGAAATAAGCCAGTCATAGAAAGACAGATACTATATAATTCCACATATATGAGGGCCCTTCAAATTCATAGAAACAGAAAGTAGGATGGTGGCTGCCAGAGCCTGGGGGGAGGGGAAATGGAAACTGTTTAATGAGTATAGAGTTTTGCAAGATGGAAAAGCTCCAGAGATTAGCTGCCTGACAATGTGAATGTCCTTAATGCCACCAGTTTGTACACTTGAAAATGATTAGGATGGTACATTTTATCTTTTGTGTGTTTTACAATTTAAAAAAGGCATCTACAAGTGTGGTTTTCGAGTTTCAGTAAGCAGAAGTACAACCCAAGGTTCTTACTAAACACAGATTCTGGGGTCCCCTTCCCCTAGATGTTCTGATTGAAGGTCTGGGTGTGAGGCTCTGGAATCTGCATTTTCATAAACATCTGAGGGCTATTTAGCACACTAAGAATTCATTTATTCTGCTCTAGTTCTAAAGGGTCAAGGAATATTCTTTTGAATATTTTGCTTTGCTGATCAGTAGCTGTTTAAAACATACACACACACTATGCCGTGTGTGTGTGTGTGTGTGTGTGTGTGTGTGTGTGTGTATCTAGAAAGATCTCATGTTGATTCTAGCCACAGCCCAACAAGATGGTCCTCCGGTCCTCAGGCAAGGAGGAGCTACAAAGCTTGGGTCTGTGGCCCCTCGGCTCCAGGCCCATGGGCCTCTCACATTTCAGCCTGCACAAGCTCATCTCACCAGAAGTGTGTCAGGTAAACCAAATACATGCCCACAGGATGTCCCCAACAAGGGAGGTAATGTCAGGTACAGCCTGCGGGGGCTCTGCCTCCCACACTGGGGAGAGGAGGAGAGCTAACACAGGCAACCCCACTGCCAAAGTGCACAGGACGCAGGGAAACCACAACTCTCAAGGGCAGCCGCAAGCAGAAGGCCAAGGAGAGCCAGTGGGGCCAGTGAAACACTGGCCGGGGAGGGCCTCCGAGAGAGCAAGAACAGCCTGAGAGAGGCAGCTCATTCAAGGACTCCAGGCCTCCCCTCCCACAACCCAACCAGCAAAGGAGACTCTGCTCATTCAACCGCAACCAACTAAATACAGTGTCCTCAGCCCACCACATCAGCCATGTAGTCATTTGTTATCTTCATCATCATAATAGCACCTTTGACATTTCCCATGCTTGGCTCCAACTCCATCATTACTTTCCAGGGTGGCAAAGAATGTCGCTCTTTGAACAGGAAGCATGGAGCACTTCCAACCTGCTGAGGCAGAGGGGCCCACAACTTTTGGATTTGGACTCCCCCAGAAGCAGATCTGCCATGAAAC